TTCTGTTGGGCATCCAACATTTATTAGCTTCGCATAGTTATCATATATGAAAGCATTTATCATTAAAAATTTATGTTTGATTGTAACCGGGAAAACAAAGACATGCATACGTTTACAAAGCGTGTATGGAAAATAGAATAAGCCAATGTGGTTTTTATTTATATTTATGAAAGGTCTAAAACTATGAAATTTTCTTGGGTGATGTTTGATTGTAAATGGGTTATGTTATGTCATTGGTTAAAAAGCCTAATGGCTCACTGCCTGGCTTTTACATGATATATGTGGGTTGTTATTTGTTTTGGGTACGGTTTAAATCTTTTTTAAACCATAAATATTATATTTTGATATAATCTGGTTCTTGATTTGTTCCCATTAAATTTAAAGACTATTTTATTTTTTATATAATTATTTTTCATTTTACTTACTTATTTTAGTATAATTGCAAAAATGATTTTCGTTGGTTGTCTTTTTTTTTTCGTACAACCCTTTTAAACTAGTCTTTTTGACATAGTTTAGTGGTAAATTTGGTCCCCATTTAAAAAGAGTATTCTATTTTATAGGAAAATACCTAATATAGTAATATTGTTATGTTTTGTACACGTTTAGTCTTTATTGTAACTCATGTTTAATATTAATAAATGTATTAATTTTGTATTATTCAATATATGTTTGATAACTGTTCAATATATTTTGTACTGTTCAATATATGTTTGGTATCAGAGCTATTGACTATAAAGAACTAGTACTTTCTTAGGAAAAAACGATTATAGTCTAGGGCTTACTCTCTTAGGTTTAAGTATATTCTTTAACCTACAAGTAATAGGTATTATTAATTATACTACCGAATGACTACTTACGGGAATGATGACAGGATAGACACGTCGCTTGGGTTGTTGGATTTCAGAACGACTATATGCTAAAATGATATTGCCTTTCGTTTGTCCTGAATGGCCAGTGCCTTATCAGCTAGACATGAAGTAACCAACAATAATTAATAAAACATGTGAATACAACAAATATAAGATATAAAGTCTTATATAAAGACTTAGACCCTCGATGAGAATACACCTAAAATTAAACCAGAAAAGTCTTGAACTCAAGGATTTAGATCAAATATCGTGACTAAAGTTTTATTGGTACATGGATCATACCACAACTAAGTATAGGTGCGTAACTATAATTTATTATGGCCAGGGCTTATGAACTATTTAACGTGGGACTAATATTTGAAGAACTAAATACTTGAAGATTTAGAAATACTTGAACAAAATCACAGTTAAGAACACAATACTATTTAAAGATACTAATAAAACGACCTTATTTTAGAGGAGCCCAAAATGGCAAATTTTCAAGAATGGATAAATTTAGAAAATTCAGAAGAAGAACCTACGAATCTTTTTCTCGGTGGCCCCTATTTCCCAACATATTTGTATCTAATACCTTCTGATGATGGAGCTCTCGTACCAACCGAGAATAGTGAACCATCTGAAGAACCAATAGTGGAGGAAGAGGCAGTTGCCTCATCACTGCCCCCCCCCACACACACACACACACTTAATGTTCCTTATTGTCAATATCCTGGAGGTTCGAGGATGAAACACATAGCACGTAAATCCATTCCTAATCGCATAAAGATCAAGAAAAATAAGAAAGAGACGTCTTCTGATCTTTAGAGGATACGAGATAACCCTGCCTGGATAGCGGGAATGGTGAATGAGTGGGTAACTGAGGAAAGATTTACCACTAGATACAAGATTGAACAAACATCTCGAACACGTTCCCACCTCATACATATATCGATACCTTGCCTCAGTTATTCGAGCATAATATCAAGCTTGAAAATCAAATCCAAACTGTGAGCAATGGACTAGGTTCCATGGAAGAAAACGCCATTCTGTCATCACCTTGGTTTTTGGTAGAGGGTTCATCAATAATGGTATAGCCAAAAGCAAGAATATAGATTCTTGCAAGTTTTAAACTTACCTCTAGGCCTATGTAAGATAATAATGTAATAAACTGATATATGAAGCATATTACTACAATTAAAGAGAAAATTATTATCCAAATGTTTAAGATTTCTTTGCACTAATCCTTGTAATTATCAAGAACAACAAACAAGATACATCATAATAATTTATACATTCTCACCAAATATGATATGAAGAATACAATGCATCCAAGAAGGAAAAGCAACTGACTTAACAATAATCAACCGCCTCCAGTGGTAATTCCACCAGTGGATCCAAACGTGCTTGAGCAAATAATAGCACATGAAATCTCAGAAGCATTGGCGAGTTATGAAGCAAGCCATAAAAACAATGGACACATAAATAACTCTCAAGGAACTAACGTAGGGCCTGCAAGAGCTTGCACCTACAAAGATTTTTATGAGTTGCAAGTCAAAGAATTTCTACGGAAATAAAGGAGTGGTAACAAGATGGATTTAGAAGACAAAGTCTATCTTCCAAATAAGCTTCTGTCCTGATGATTGCAAAGTACGATTTGCAGCTTGTACTTTTTCTGATGTCACATTAACATGTGGAATAGCCATACAAGCACGATAGGCATCAATACGACAAACTCCTTGAATTGGGAGGAACTAAAAACGATGTTGATAGAGGAGTATTATCCTAGAGATGAAATACAAAACCTTGAACAAGAGCTATGGAACCTAACCATGAAAGGATCTGAGATAAATGCTTATACAGCTAGCTTCAATGATCTTGTTGTGATGTGTCTGGGACTTATAACCCCGAAATACAAGAAAATATAGCGATACATTTGGGATCTAGCGCCACAGATCCAAGGAATGGTTATCGCATCAAACCCTACAACCTATGATAGTACCAAGTGCATAGCCTTTCGTCTAACCAACACGAAGATCTGAGGTGGATATATGGTAGAAAAGGTTGAACCTCCCAAGTATAGGGCATACAAGCAAAAATTTGGTGAAGTAAAAAAAAGATGATCATTCAGGAAGGAACTGGAAGTGACAACCAGTTATGCAGTCACAAAAACAACAGCAACACCCACGCCACCAAAGCATTATGTAGGAAAGCATGATTGCAACCCGGCATCACCCATGTGACTGTTACGTTTGCATAAAGTGTAAAAAGATGGGGTATACTGCCAACTACTAAAAAAACAAGGCACCAGCAGTAGTCAATTAGGGAATGTGAGGATCAGATAACCCCAACTGTTCAAAGTCTCATCCACAAGTTCAATTTTGGGACAAAATTCTCTTAAGGGGGGGGGGGGGGGATGTGACAATACTCAGATTAAGCCAACGATCGTCACCGTTGAATGTGACAAACAACTGATGTAATAGGCTTAATTTGTAATATTTAAACAACTTTTAATGGAAATACAAAATTTGTATAAATAAAATTATAATCCAAAAGTACACGTCAACCCGATTCTTAAAATATAAAGAACGTATACATCTGATGAAGAAGTTATGATTTTATGAAGTTTCATGTTGACACAGTATAGCAGTGTGCAACACATAGAATAGAAATAGAGATCGTTTACTTGATAGCCAAAACAATATGTAACGTCTCATTTTCACAACCAAAAATTTACATTTTTATTTAAGTAAATTTTCCCAATTAAAAATCCATTATGGTGAAAACCATTTATTCCAAATACATTTATAAAAATCAGAGTAATATTAAAGCACAACATCTTCATTGTTGTTGATGAATGTGTATAGTCATGCCTTCGCCTTCCCAAGATGACCGATGATATCTGAAACAATAAACAGTTGGGTAAGTATAAAGCTTAGTGAGTTTCCCCCAAAATACCACACATAACCAAACAAATAGAACGAACAATGGGCCAAAACAGTCATCGGACTGGAATGCCCAACTATATCAGGTTTATTGGCCTTACCCCCTCAACCCAACCGCTCATCCCGAGCCTCCGTGCCTACGGCTTATAGTCGGCCCGCACGAAGTATCTTGGCCTTCAGCACAAAGCAGGACCGCCTCAACCCAACCAAACACAAAATGTCGACATGTAAACAATCAAGGATCAAGTAGGCACATAATACAAGCAAACATCAATCATAGAGCTCACTACCGCCTACTAGTCCTCTCACGGCATATAGTACCGCTACCAGCTAACCTCCATGAAATGTGTAACCATAATTAACCAGAGGTGAGATAGCCACCCGAACAGCTGATCCTACTCTAGAGCCATAACCAAACAAGGAACAGGCAAGAAAGCCTAAATTAAGAGTTCCCACGCAATCCTACATGAGCACAGACAGTCCCTAGGCCACTCCACCAGATGATAACCAGCAAGTATAGATAACATACAATTCTACAGATCACCACAGCATAACAACATACTCGATACCAGGATACTAATATAACAGATTACTACAGCATAGCAGCATACTAAATATCAACAATCTAATAAATGCATGACCGTATATAATTAGAGGTGAGATAGACACCCAGATAGGTGATCCTACTCTAGAACCACAACCAAACAAGGAATAGGTAAGATAGCCTAGATCAAGATTCCTCATTCTATCCTACATGACTACATACAGTCCCTCGGCATCCCTCTACTAATATATAACCAAAACTAGTGGGCCGACATTGGTGCCTTCGACCCACGGGTACAGTGAGGCGAAACTCACCTCGATATGTGCGTAGGTCACCACAGTAGTAACAAAGAACTCCACTAGCTTTGACTCACTTTCAATCACCTATAGGAAGATACTTGAGTCAATACCCGATCACAGGTTATAGTCACTTGCAACAGTGACTGCCTCACATGAAATGTCAAATAGGGTTCACATAAAATAACGATTGGGGTTAAGTGAGGATACTTAAACCATTAAGGATTTAACCCCATTAAGAACATCATCAATT